CTGCTGCTCCTGCTCCTGCTGCTCCTTCTGTTCAAAAAACAGCCCCCGGATGGGAAAACACCATGGCAGTGAAGGACGGAAAGGCAGCAAAATTGCGCCCAAAAAGTGCTTCATGTAACTTCTGAAACCAATCGAAAAGAATGATTGTAGCAATTTTTTCCTCCTCCTGCTGCTGCTGCTTCTGCTCCTGCTGCTCCTTCTGTTCAAATGGCAGCTCCCGGATGGGAAAGCAACATGGCAATGAAGGACGGAAAGGCAGCAAAATTGCGCCCAAACAAAGTGCCTAATGTAACCTCTGAAACCCATAGAAAAGGATTATTTTAGCCACTTTTTCCCTCCTCCTGCTGCTGCCCTGCTCTTGCTTTTGACTTTAGCTACCTTTTCCAAAAAATGCCTAATGTAACTCCTCCTGCCGCTGCTGCTGCTCCTTCTGTTCAAACGGCAGCTCCCGGATGGCAAAACACCATGGCAGTGAAGGACGGAAAGGCATCAAAATTGCGCGCAAAAAGTGCCTAATGTAACGTCTGAAACCCATAGAAAAGGATGATTTTAGCAACTTTTTCCTTCTCCTGCTGCTGCTCCTCCTGCTCCTGCTGCTCCTTCTGTTCAAATGGCAGCTCCCGGATGGGAAAACACCATGGCAGTGAAGGACGGAAAGGCAGAGAAATTGCGCCCAAAAAGTGCCTAATGTAACTTCTGGAACCCATAGAAAAGGATGATTTTCGCTACTTTTTCCTCCGCGCTATTGTTGCTGCTGGAAAACACCATGGCAGCGAGGGACGGAAAGGCATCAAAATTGCAAAAGTGCCTAATGTAACTTCTGAAATCCATATAAAAGGATGATTTTAGCTACTTTTTCCTTCTGCTGCTGCTGCCGCCCTTGCTCTTGCTTTTGACTTTAGCTACCTTTTCCAAAAAGTACCTAATGTAACTTCTGAAACCCATAGAAAACGATGATTTTAGCAACTTTTTCCTCCTCCTGCTGCTCCTTCTGTTCAAACGGCAGCTCCCGGATGGGAAAACACCATGGCAGTGAAGGAAGGAAAGGCATCAAAATTGCACGCAAAAAGTGCCTAATGTAACTTCTGAAACCCGTCGAAAAGAATTATTTTAGCCACTTTTTGGTCCTCCTGCTGCTGCTGCTCCTGCTCCTGCTGCTCCTTCTGTTCAAACGGCAGCTCCCGGATGGGAAAACACCATGGCAGTGAAGGATGGAAAGGCAGAGAAATAGCACCCAAAAAGTGCCTAATGTAACTTCTGAAACCTATAGAAAAGGATGATTTTAGCTACCTTTTCCTCCTCCTGCTGCTGCCGCCCCTGCTCTTGCTTTTGACTTTAGCTACCTTTTCCAAAAAGTGCTTAATGTAACTTCTGAAACTCATAGAAAACGATGATTTTAGCCACTTTTTCCTGCTCCTGCTGCTGCTGCTCCTGCTCCTGCTGCTCCTTCTGTTCAAACGGCAGCTCCCGGATGGGAAAACACCATGGCAGTGAAGGACGGAAAGCCGTCAAAATTGCACGCAAAAAGTGCCTAATGTAACTTCTGAAACCCATCGAAAAGAATGATTTTAGCAACTTTTTCCTTCTCCTGCTGCTGCTCCTCCTGCTCCTGCTGCTCCTTCTGTTCAAATGGCAGCTCCCGGATGGGAAAACACCATGGCAGTGAAGGACGGAAAGGCATCAAAATTGCACGCAAAAAGTGCCTAATGTAACTTCTGAAACCCATCGAAAAGAATGATTTTAGCAACTTTTTCTTCCTCCTGCTGCTGCTGCTGCTTCTCCTCCTGCTGCTCCTTCTGTTCAAACGGCAGCTCCCGGATGCGAAAACACCATGGCAGTGAAGGACGGAAAGGCAGAAAAATTGCACCCAAAAAGTGCTTCATGTAACTTCTGAAGCCAATCGAAAAGAATGATTGTAGCAATTTTTTCCTCCTGCTGCTGCTGCTTCTGCTCCTGCTGCTCCTTCTGTTCAAATGGCAGCTCCCGGATGGGAAAACACCCTGGGAATGAAGGACGGAAAGGCAGCAAAATTGCGCCCAAACAAAGTGCCTAATGTAACGTCTGAAACCCATAGAAAAGGATGATTTTAGCTACCTTTTCCCTCCTCCTGCTGCTGCCCTGCTCTTGCTTTTGACTTTAGCTACCTTTTCCAAAAAATGCCTAATGTAACTTCTGAAACCCATAGAAAAGGATTATTTTAGCCACTTTTTCCTCCTCCTGCTGCTGCTGCTTCTGCTCCTGCTGCTCCTTCTGTTCAAACGGCAGCTCCCGGATGGGAAAACACCATGGCAGTGAAGGACGGAAAGGCAGAAAAATTGCGCCCAAAAAGTGCTTGATGTAACTTCTGAAACCAATCGAAAAAAATGATTGTAGCAATTTTTTCCTCCTGCTGCTGCTGCTTCTGCTCCTGCTGCTCCTTCTGTTCAAATGGCAGCTCCCGGATGGGAAAACACCCTGGCAATGAAGGACGGAAAGGCATCAAAATTGCGCGCAAAAAGTGCCTAATGTAACTTCTGAAACCAATCGAAAAGAATGATTGTAGCAATTTTTTCCTCCTGCTGCTGCTGCTTCTGCTCCTGCTGCTCCTTCTGTTCAAATGGCAGCTCCCGGATGGGAAAACACCCTGGCAATGAAGGACGGAAAGGCAGCAAAATTGCGCCCAAACAAAGTGCCTAATGTAACTTCTGAAACCCATAGAAAAGGATGATTTTAGCTACCTTTTCCCTCCTGCTGCTGCCCTGCTCTTGCTTTTGACTTTAGCTACCTTTTCCAAAAAATGCCTAATGTAACTTCTGAAACCCATAGAAAAGGATTATTTTAGCCACTTTTTCCTCCTCCTGCTGCTGCTGCTCCTGCTCCTGCTGCTCCTTCTGTTCAAACGGCAGCTCCCGGATGGGAAAACACCATGGCAGTGAAGGACGGAAAGGCATCAAAATTGCGCGCAAAAAGTGCCTAATGTAACTTCTAAAACCCATCGAAAAGAATGAGTTTAGCAACTTTTCCCTCCTCCTGCTGCTGCTGCTTCTGCTCCTGCTGCTCCTTCTGTTCAAACGGCAGCTTTACTTCTCCTGCTGTTGCTGCTGCTGCGCCCGCTGCGGTAGTAGTCCGAAACAAGAGTCAAAAGTATTATTCCCTGGCGCGCTCCCCCTTGCTGAAACCCATAGAAAATGAAGATAGAAAATGAAGATTTGAGCTACTTTTTCCTCATAGAAAATTGTGATTTTAGCTACTTTTGCCTCCCTTCTGCTGCTGCTGCTCCTTCTGTTCAAAAGACAGCTGCCGGATGGGAAAACACCATGGCAGTGAAGAACGGAGAAGCATCAAAATTGCACCCCAAAACTGCCTGACGTAACTTATCAAACCCATATAGAAAAGGATGATTTTAGCTACTTTTTCTGCTGCTGCTGCTGCTGCTGCTGCTCCTTCTGTTCAAAAGACAGCTGCCAGATGGGAAAACACCATGGTAGTGAAGGACGGAGAAGCATCAAAATTGCACCCCAAAACTACCTAACGTAACTTCTGAAACCCATAGAAAATGATTTGGTGATGTTAGCTATAGCTATAGCTACTTTTTTCATCCTGCTGCTGCTGCTGCTCCTTCCGTTCAAAAGACAGCTGCCGGATGGGAAAAGACAATGGCAGTGAAGGACGAAGAAGCATCAAAATTGCACCCCAAAACTGCCTAATGTAACTTCTGAAACCCACAGAAAATGAAGATTTTAGGTACTTTTTCTTGATTTTCTTGATAGAAAATTGTGATTTTAGCTACTTTTGCCTCCCTTCTGCTGCTGCTGCTGCTCCTTCTGTTCAAAAGACAGCTGCCGGATGGGAAAACACAATGGCAGTGAAGGACGAAGAAGCATCAAAATTGCACCCCAAAACTGCCGCATGTAACTTCTGAAACACACAGAAAATGAAGATTTTAGGTACTTTTTCTTGATTTTCTTGATAGAAAATTGTGATTTTAGCTACTTTTGCCTCCCTTCTGCTGCTGCTGCTCCTTCTGTTCAAACGACAGCTGCCGGATGGGAAAACACCATGGCAGTGAAGGACGGAGAAGCATCGAAATTGCACCCCAAAACTGCCTAACGTAACTTCTGAAACCCATAGAAAATGATTAGGTGATGTTAGCTATAGCTACTTTTTTCATGGCAGTGAAGGACGAAGAAGCATCAAAATTGCACCCCAAAACTGTCGAATGTAACTGCTGAAACCCACAGAAAAAGAAGATTTTAGCTACTTTTTCTTGATAGAAAATTGTGATTTTAGCTACTTTTGCTTCCCTTCTGCTGCTGCTGCTCCTTCTGTTCAAAAGACAGCTGCCGGATGGGAAAACACCATGGCAATGAAGGACGGAGAAGCATCAAAATTGCACCCCAAAACTGCCTAACGTAACTTCTGAAACCCATAGAAAATGATTTGGTGATGTTAGCTATAGCTATAGCTACTTTTTTCATCCTGCTGCTGCTGCTGCTCCTTCCGTTCAAAAGACAGCTGCCGGATGGGAAAACACAATGGCAGTGAAGGACGAAGAAGCATCAAAATTGCACCCCAAAACTGCCTAATGTAACTTCTGAAACCCACAGAAAATGAAGATTTTAGGTACTTTTTCTTGATTTTCTTGATAGAAAATTGTGATTTTAGCTACTTTTGCCTCCCTTCTGCTGCTGCTGCTCCTTCTGTTCAAAAGACAGCTGCCGGATGGGAAAACACCATGGCAGTGAAGGACGGAGAAGCATGGCAGTGAAGGACGGAAAAGCATCAAAATTGCGACCAAAAACGGGTACGGTGCAGTACCTCTTCTTCCCTCACGCGCTCCCCCTTGCGTCGGCCGGGGTCGGCGGATTTATAAATCGTATACTGATAGTGTATCGCTATCTCACCATCTCAACAATACATTGTGGATGTTGTATAACTATGTATAACTTGTATAGACATCTACTGTAATCTACTGTATTTTGAATGTATTTTTACATCATTTCACACCCTTTCCACTCAAGGCCCGACGATGCACGTGAACTTCCCGCCAGAGGTGGATGCTCAGCGCTTCCGTGGCCATGCGGTGCTGATCGCTGCGGCGGAGCAAAGCAGGAATCGGGGAACCATCGGTTGATCTCAGCTGAGATCAGCTGAGCAGTGATCCAAAACAGACCAAAAAAAATACCAAAAAACAGCATTCAAAGCTGTGAGCTGATGTTAATGAAAATTGAATGACTTGCAATTGGCTATTAATTATAGGGCATTATTCAGGATGATTATTGTACTTGTACTACTTGCTTTATTCATCTTTATTCAATATCATCTTGTCCCATGATTGAAGCGACCAACCTGTACCATTTGAATGCTGGTCCTGGGGGGTTTCAAGTGCTGCATCAACAGGATGATCTCATCCCATCCCATGATCCCGAAAAGACCAGGGATGATCCGATGATCCCGTTGGCGTTGGCGTTTTGGGAATGCCTTTGACTATCTTTGACTATATTGACATATATATTGATATATATATATATATTGACATATATATTGACTATATATCAACTATTCTATTCAGAAGTTCAGAATCATTGAACATATTGAACTGTGAAATGAAATGAAATGAAATCACACTGGTACTTCGGGTGGAAACCTGTAGAAATCCTGATATTCCACAGTCAGATTCAGAACTGCCAGTGTCTGTTGGGCGCCAGGCGAGAGCCACCGCCCCCAGTGATTTTGGTGGAGGGCGACTTTCTGGAGCTGGGTGAAGTCGAGGCAAAAGCCCTGGTGCCCTTTGAGGCGCTTGGGGATGGTAACATGGTGGTAAAATTTGATGAGGTTTTTTGAACATTGGCTGCTTAGGCTATGATTGGCTACTAAGGATGTGATTGACTACGACATAGCTATTCTGTGACATTGTGTGACCTAATACCTGTACTGTGGCTACTGTGGTCATTTTTTGATTGCAGGCGGCTTTCGATCGTGGCAGCTTGGTGGCTATTGAACCAGATGATCGAGCGCGGTACGCATCGGCGCCACTTGGCTGAATCCAGATCGAAATAATGTGTGTATATATATATAATTATATATATACACTTATATATGTATGCATTATAATATTATATATACACTCATATAATCTTATTATTTTATTATTATTGCTATTGTTATTGTTACTACTGTTCTTGTTATTTTTTATTTCATATATATATACATACATATAACTATAATATATATATATACATATAACTATAATATATATATATGTATATTTTTTTAAATATATATATATATTATATTATATATACATTATATAACTATAATATATATATACATATAATTATATATAACTATTATATATATACATATATTTATATACACATATAAGTGTATATAATTGTATATATACACATTATATTACTCGTATTTTTTATTAGAAAACTTTAAAAGTGTTCCAAATTCTGGTGATGAAATGTGAAATGTGTTCACCTTGCTAGGCTGACGCATTTGATGGCCTCGGGGGGCCGCGTGCTGTTGGTGGCCGTGGAACATGATGGATTCGGCCCGAAGAAGGGACCACCCTACGAGGCGGGAAGCGGATGGCGGGTGAATCCGGCTGCCTCCCGACACCTGCAGGTATCAGAAGCTGATGTGCCCGGCACTCAAGTGACGGAGTAGCGACAAAAACAAAACAAGTATATCAAGAAAACTTAGAAGCATGTTTGTAAAAAACATAGGAACATGATGATATGACGGAACCTTTTTTCAAAATACGGAGATGTATGGAGATATGGATGAGATATGCAAGTTATGCCAGTGGAGCAAATCCACCATGGGATGCACCGGTGAGGCGCCATCTCTTTGGCCGCCACTTTGAGATCCAACACCTGGGCACCGTTGATGCCCTGAACGACAACTTACGCGAGCGTGGCGCCTCACGTGTCCTGGCTGTTGAGATTCTCGTTTTTTTTGGCACCTTACATCCCGTTAGGTATTTAAAAAATTACTCATTGACTCAATGAGAGCTCGGCATTGTTTTATCCTGTTCTATCATGATAGTTTTATCATGTGTTTGTCATTGGGTTTGTCATTTGTGTATCATTTGAAACTGATTTCGTGGCACTTGGTCACCCTGTGTGGTGTTTACACCCTGCGAGGCTTTGAAGAGTCCGTGTACCTTCTGACCAAGCATTGATTGTCGCAAAAAGTGACGGAAGGAAATGCTAAGCGGGATGTGAAAGGGCAATTGGGTGTTTACGGCTGAAAGGCAGTTGTTCTATCACCAATTCTACTTGGACTCGAGCTTAAACCAAGACCATTTCTTTCGAAGGAAACTCTGTTTTCTGCACGTGTGCATAGATGTGAAAGTAGATGATTTGGGATTCAATTGTATTCAATCAGTGTCAATCAATGTCAATCATATTCATCCCAACATCTAACTTCGGGCGCTCGCTGCCAGTCGCAGTGCGGGGATTTGATGCCCTGCCGCGCGGGCATAGCCTGGGGTGGTCCGGGTCCAAATTAAGCACCATTAGTTGTTGTATGTTGTTGTCAGCGTTGAACCATGTTGAACCACTGAACCACTGGTTGTTGGCTAATGTTGGCTGCAATATGCTACAATTGTGATCAAGAACGAGGTCTTGCACCTTTGTAACTCTGCATTTAAGCGTACTTTGGTGAGTCTCCAAGGCAAGCCTTTTAAACTGAGCTTTTCCATTCAGAGTGCTTCCCTGGAGAGTCGGAATCCCAGCTTCGCAACTAGCATCTCGTGTTATAAAACGTGCTGATTGTTCTCAGATGTTCACAGCATCTCAATCATCTCAGGTTCTGAATTCTCAGCCTCCAGCAAGCCTTACATCACTGTGGATGACCCAGTGGAAAAAACTGAGTTCCATCCACTGAGTCCACTGAGATTTCAGCTCATCTCCAACTCTCAGCCCTCAAAAAATGTCTTGCACTTGGTTCAAGCAAGTAGCTCTCTAAGTTAAGTCAGCTGGTTGGAGCAGAATCACTCACAAATTGGCTGCGACATCTAGACTCCTCGACCACGCATTCTTTCAAGCAGGGGTTCCGCAATGGGAGTCCCCGAATCAGGACAATCCAAAAGGAGAGACTTCCAAAAGCATCAAAAGCGAAACTGCTGGATTCCGGAATTTCCCGTTTTTCTGTAGGAGTTGGGCCGGGTTCAACATGGTTCAACCTTTTGACTCAGAAGTCACTTTCTGAAAAGGCTTGATGTAACTTTGGTGCGTCGCTGTCGCCATGGCTTTTTCGGGCTTACACCGTATTCCCTTTGCCTTCTATCGCAGCGGCACTTCTCGTGGTCTCTTCCTATGTGACCACGATCTACCACCGCTGGGACCTGCACGTGACGCCATTCTTTGTCAGCTCATGGGCAGTGGACATCCGCAACAGCTGGGTGGCTTCGGGGGTGGAACAGGGCCCACCAGTAAGATCGCTGTGGTAGGATCTCACAAGGATCCAGGGTCTGTGACTTTCAGCTTCGCACAGTGTGGAGTGAAAGAGCCACACATTGACAAGAGCCATGGAGACTGTGGGAACATGCTGGCGGCAGTTGCCCCCTTTGCGCTTGAGCGTCGCTTGCCCACGGGTGTGAAGTTTGTTGGAGATGGGACTGTGGCCAGGTTGAAGATTCACAGCTTGAACACGGGGGCACGGTATGAAGCCGATGTTTGCACAACGCCCGACGAGAACGGGGACCGACACGTTCAATATCTAGGAAACTTGGAAATCCCAGGAGCTCCTGGGCAGGCAGCCCCAGTGGGTTTAGCTTCGGTGGGCGTAGCAGGTTCACAAACAGGTAAGCTTCTTCCAACTGCTTCCCCAGTCGATGTATTAGATTTTGGACTTGGCCATGCAGAAGTCACTTTGGTGGATTTTGCCCGTGCTTTGGTGATTGTTAATGCAGTAGACGTCCTTCCAAAGTTCGGATACACAAGCTTGCAGCAGATTGATTTGGTCACGGCTCAGGCAGATACCAAGCTGTGTGATGCACTAGAAACTTTAAGACGAAAAGCGAGCCAAGTCATGGGCATGGGCGACTGTTCAGGGAAAGATGCGCCAAAGCTGGGCTTGGTATCACCAGTATCACCTGCCGAAGCCGTCGAGGCCGTGGATGTTCCGCGCGGCGGTGCCTTGGCATTTCGATACTTCGTGAACCCCGGACGTGCGGAGATGCATCCCACATGTGCATTGACGGCAGCAACAGCGATCGGTGCAGCTTGCTTGATTCAGGACTCGGTGGCCATGAAAGCTTTGGGCAAAGTTCCAGAGTCAGATGCTGATAGATCTGATAGTTTTTCTTTTCTGATCCAACACCCCAAGGGAAACTTGCCTGTCAGCATTGGCACAGATGGCACAGATGGCACAGCCCTACCTTCTGACACGATGTTTCCATACGGGACGCCGTACGCGGGCAAGTACCGGACGACAGTGATGCCAATTGCTGAAGGAACTGCCTTTGTGAACTCAACACAGTAGCTGCACTACTCCAAGCAGGGCAGAAAAAGGTAAAGTTACCTGCTATGAATCAAAATAGTGTCATCACTGGCAGGTAATTTCCCTCTTAAAGAGGTTTTTCCTGCTGTCAGTCCGCTCAGCCCAATGTCCGGCTGGCAGACTTGCTTCTTCACTGGAATTTATTGAACTTGTTTCTTTGGAATTTACAATAGTGGAAAATCTATGCAAATCCGTGAAAATCCACCAGAATCCACAATGTGTATGATATTTATATTTATGATAATATTTGATTTCTTTGGGAAATCCTGGATTTTCTGATGCCAGATCAATCTTCGTTTACCCCAGGGTAATCTGATTCCCAAGGGATGAATTGCCACATTTCAGGTCACCAGCTCAGGGAAGCAGAAGCAAACCGAGTGCGGGGATTGGTGTCAGGACATGGAGGTCATGGGGGCAATCCTTTTCCTCTCTAGGCCATGATTTAGTGAATGATATTGAATGATGGCCTGGTAAAAGATTCATGTCTTTGAATGTTTGGATGGAAGTTCCATGTCAATAAATGATTATAAATGGTGATTCGGACCTGTGTCGTTTCCAACCATCCCAGAATCCCAGAACCTCGCAGGAAGACGGCAAATGGAATTTTCGCGAAATCCTCACGATGGAGGTGGGAAATCCTCACGACACCTTGGCTCATGCGGTGAAGCCTTGCATCCAGAATCTTGGTGGCGAAAGAATGGTGAAACAAGAACTGGCAACAACCTGTGTTAGTTCCGTCCGTTTGCTGTTTGATTCATACTGTAATATTTAATAACAAGTCACGACTCAAGAGCTGTGAGGCTTCACAGATGCAAGTCCTTAGTAGTTGACCCATTCTACATGAATCTACGTGACATCATGACAATGTAACTGACTATCATGACTATATCCTTAGTGCTGCCTGCCATAGGTGTATCCAGATGAAGAGGTGTGCATCTCGATTTGCTGCACCTTGGCACAGTGAAATGGGTGGTGGCAGGTTTGGCCGTCTCGGAGCCCCATGGAACATAATGGAACCTGGAAGGTGGTTCCAAAAACTCAACTAAGTTGGACAACTAGCTTGACTAGGGATGACTAGGGGTGTATGGCTGTGTATGGTGATTTTAGTAATATTTTAGTAGCTTAGGATGGGTTTGGAACTAAGTTGTACAACTAGGGGGGCACCGGGGGCACTACCTTGGAGCAGCACAGGGAGGGAAGATGCGCAGAGTTCTACACCTCAGATGGTTTCATAAAATGGAGGTACCCCAAAATGGATGGTTTATATATATACTATAATATAATATAATATAATACAATATCATATCATATAGTACAATATAATGGAAAATTCTATTCAAATGGATGATTTGGGGGTACCCCCCATTTTAGGAATTGAGTCAAGATATGGTGGATTCTTAAAATGGGGGATCCACAAAACCATAGGTTGAAATACTAAAATTGTGTAATTTTTGGGTGATTTGGGAGTGCCCTCATTTTAGGAACCTCCTGTTAAGATTAAGTATGATCTGTTTATGATCTTCAGTGCAATTGTCAGAGCCTGGCACGGCTTGCGAGGTAGTCAGCAGGTCGACTTGCTTGTGGCAGCCCTCTCGTTGGCATCAAAGTGTGTCCGGAGCCCTGGGCGACAAGGAACAGTCTGCCAGTCTGCACAAGGCCGTGGAAAAAGTGTGTGGCCTGCACCGCTTCAGAATGGCCTAGCGCGCATTTCAGGCCACACTTCGATGATTATGGCATATTAGGCATATATTAGGCATATTGTAGCTTATCATAATCTACAAATTGAAATTGCTCCAAGCTCACTCCTAGCGATGCGTCTACGGATGCCTTCTGTGACCCGCTCAGAGCGAGGTCGGCGAGGTGTGCGTGCCAGTTGCCTCTGTGGGGTGGCCCAGGGGAGACCACGGCCTTCTTTGCCCGGCAATTTTCGGAGCTTCAAAGGCTCTGACATGACACAACAAGTGCTTTCACAGATCAATTGCAAGGCCAAATACGTCCAAATACATCCAAATACTCTATACTACAAATCCTCGGCACTGTGGATCTGAGAAGACACAATGCCCAGTTTCACAGGTCTTGCCCCAGCTACAGATGGCAATGAGCTAAGTGTGTCAGCGGCATTGTCCTTCCCCACATCCCATTTACACGTGCCATTGAGGAAGATCGAGACCTTGAGGGGGTGATATATGTCCCACCTGCCATGTTGTAGCTGTGCATGTCCGCGCTTCGTGGGTGCTTCAGAGATGTTGGAACGAAATCTACGGATATCTGCTGTGGGGTCTTACCAACTCCCATAGTTCCCTTGGATGAACGAAATCTGTTGGTTCAGTCGCCGAGATGATTGAACTATATTGAACTTCAGCCATCCGCCTGGGCCTGGCCACCATTCCGAGCCATGTTGAGCCAGGTTACCCCTCAGATTGGCTTCGATCTCCTAAAGGATGGTGTGAAAACAGGTCTGACTCGGTCTGACCAAAAGCCACAGCAACTGGTTGATGTTTTTTGTCTTCTGGTCTACTGAAGCTCAAGTTCTACATTTTTGAAGTTGCTGTGTGTGAGTCGCAGTCGTGTGCTTTTCACAGTCTACTGTGCTTAGTGCTACAGTGTTATCGGAATTCAAACTATGTCATCAATGCGACGTGTAGGTCGATGCTACATGTCCTTCGAGACCAAGCACCCACCACAACGTCTTGCAATCAGCGAGACTTGGTCATTTGGCCCAAAGCCTTTGTGGGCAACATGAGCGTCACAAGGGATTCTGCCGCCTTTTCAAACACCTGTTCATACCATTTCACTTCTTTGATTTGCCTGATCCACGTTTGAAATCTTTTGAATGTGCAAGTTTCCTTGCCAACCCAGAGAAGACCGGAAGCCCCGCAAACAACAGAACGAACCTTGTTGGCCATTTTTGTCTGCTGCAAGCAGATGTGATTAGCTAATCAGCTAATCCACAAGCGGAAACTCCGCATACTGTTGGCTAGAACCTTTGGCCAAAGACCTTGGGACAGATACAAATATCACGATATCTACATTTTTCCACTCCACAACATGAACCATCTATAGCATATCCGGGATGTCCCCAGAAAATCACCAGAAAACTGATGGATTCCCAGTTGGATCACTTGAACCGAGGTGCGCATTCCAGCACTAACCGCTGAGCTGGTGAATGTACAAAGGAGTTGTCGCCATCCACGGGACACTTCAAAACCATCAAATAAGATAACAAACAACCGCCTCAATCACAACATGATTATACAATGCTATGAGCGTACCGTACCCAAATGTACTAAATTGGTCTAAATTGTACTACAATTACAACATACTTTATATACTGCTTATCTTATCTTATCTTATAATTATTAATATTATCCATGTGCTGTTCTGATTTCGTCCAGGGTCTAACACTTTGTCAAACAGTTTCCAGCCGGACACGCAAGCCACAGTGACAACTTCCTTCCATGAGCGAAGGAGAAAATGCAAAAGGCAGTGTGACTTGGAAAAGGTCCTTCATGTCAAGTGCAATGCCAAGATCATTCAATAAATAAATTGAATCCCAATCGTAAAAGCAACTGGAATGCATGGCTCAAGTACTTAAAATGTCAGCAAGTTAGAATATACAAACGTCAATGTACTTAGTGTAATAAAGCATATACTGCGGATATAAGGGTCGTGCAAAGGCTGGAACCTCGGTTCAACCAGGCAGACCTCATTACTCCTCATCAAGGGCGCGGTTGTGTAAATCGGTCATGTGCCTGATGGAATTTTGTGGCAATCAATTGCACATCAAGTATCCTCAAATCTCCTCAATAGCATCATTTGAATGCAAATGCAGTCAATTGAAGTCATGAATCCCAAAAAAGAACAACTCGAGATGCTGTTGGCTTGTCGCTTGTTGGGGCTCCGTGGCACCGTGCATTTTGGTTTAGTCAGAAACTAGAAAGAAAGATACACAGAAAATCCACGGTCTAATCAGCTCCACAGGACAAAGTTGAGACTTCTGATGACTTCTGTGGAAAAGCACACAGTTCTGGAAGCAGAAGTATAGCTGGAAGACTTCCCTATTTTTTCGTGATTGTTTTTTGAAGTTTAACCTTGACCTCACACTGCCCGACACCCCCAAACACATGCTTTCGAATAGCTGGCACTGAACGGCTGTGAAAGCGTACACAAAACACACAAAGCATCAAAAGAAATCATCCGTTTCCACGTCCCTGCATCGCCCCGATGTGGGCAAGCGTCATTCATCATGGGGGGCGTTATGTCGTCAAAGCTTCCACCAGTGGGAGACAAAGATTTGAGGAGAAAACACAGCAGAAACACAGCAACAAATATGGTTTGATATGGTTTGCATGGCGTCAATTCTTCAAACCTGATGGGTTTTCGAACTATATAAAGTCTTAAAGACTATGTTTGAACCTTTTGAGGGTTTCAAGGTCCAAGGAATTCCAAGGACATGTATCATGTCTAGAAAGATGCCATGCAAGAGTTCAATGCAGGTCGGGTTTCAAGACTTGGAAGTGGCCAATGGGCCAACAGAGCGCACCGGAGGACGGTCCTTTCGTACAACCTCAACGAGAGCCACATCAGATCTGTGTACAAACTTTTTACAGAGGTGCTTTGGATGTCAGCGGAAAACGCGGAAAATCGGAAAAAAAGTGCCAAAATGATCCAAAATGTTTCTTTCCATGGGTCACAGGTCCTTCTTTCCAGGACTGATTCTCGACAAAATCGTTGTGGGAATAGCTAACAACAGGGAACCAGGCATTTGTTGTGCTCCGGACAACTTTGTCACATCCTGATCCCAACAGCTCCGTGATTTCATCAAAATTCTGTCAGCTCCCATGAAATCCCATCGAATCCGTCAAGATGTTTCAATCCCCCATGACATCCTATGGCCTACCAACCGATTCCAACATCCAAACGTGGAACATGTTTTATTAACACCTATTAACACCCATGGACCATCATGGACCGCCAGATTGACGTGGACTCCAATGGAGTTTGGACCGTGAGCGAGATGTACAGAGTCCTCAAGGCGCTGACTTTCAGCATCCTGATACCGATGGAACCATACTCCATACATCTCCATACCCATGGGGCCCAGTCCCCTTCCATGATTTTTCAGCATGGCACAGTCGATTCATGTCGATTCTCATAATATTCAGAGATATTCAGAACCCATTTTCCGGGCATTTGATGAGGATCCATCTGAGCAGGAGCCCAGACTCTCAGTTCGAGCTCCCGTCATCGACACCATTTTTTTCATGGGTCCTGGACACCCAGTGGCGGGTTCTTATGGTTCTTGGTGCGACTGGAAAGGAGAGAGATGCCACAAGATGAAAACGTTGTTGTGCGATTGAGGAGTAGCTTTATGAGTCGCCCCTTGCGTGGAGGCAGACTCACAACTGATATACTATGATATACTGATGGATATTATGAAAATATACTGGCCAAGGACGGAATGAATTAAACGATCTTGATGGATCAACTGCTATATTGCTTTGGACAAACCAAGGTGACAGCAATAGTGAAGGCAGCATGACCTTTCAGGCCTTGGCGCTGGCCGCAGCAACCGAAGATTTTCCCGCACTTCAAAGAGTTTTCAATTTCTTCGGGTGTCTTTGAATGTGTTCAAATATGTGTTCCGATGAAGTAATTAATATGTTACTATTGGGCGTTTGACGTAGCCCTTCTGTATTTCCTGTCACACATATTATCAAATCATCATGATACATGGTACATTACTCTACCAAAGCTCCACCTGTAGTGAGTCAATGCGACTTCTTTAACGTTTCCACTTTGCGACGATGCACACTCTCTTTGGTGCTTGGTGGCCTTCGCTTATTCCGTCACAGGATTTTCTGGTCACGATGAGTTCCTTCTGTGCGCTCTCCAAAGAAGAGGCAAGTGGAATGCTGGTGAAAATCACAGTGCTTCATATGGTTTCACAATTTTACAGCTGGCCCTTTGCCCTGTCCTACCTTCCAATGGTTTATTGATGATTAATACACTTACAGTAGCATGAATTATTTTGAAGCTACTGGGATGCTATGTGCGTCGTCCTACATCGCATTGGCACGCCCAGATGCTGCAATTTCTCTTCATGATCATCGACATTGACCGAAACGGTATGGACAACTGGGAGCCGACGGACGCTGTTTCAATATTTGGTATGTTTAAAATGTTTAAGGAGCACAAATAAATGGGACGGTCTTGCAAGCTTTGCTGTCTGGGAACTTCAACATTGTTGTGAAGTACTTGGAAGTAATTACTACAATTTGCCACTTGCCGCTCCACTGTGAAGACCAAGACATTGCACACCTGACGTAAGACAACTTCCGCCAGGTACCATTGAGAAGGAAGAGCTCTTGAATTTCTTCTCGTACATTCCGGCCGGAGCCGACGATGGTCAGAGACTTGTAAAGTTGAGTTGCTCCCAGATGCACAGTCGACTTCTGTGGAAGATCCCTGTGCCTGTCCGAATGCTGTGAATCTGTGAATGCCCGAAACTTGAGCTTGACCTGTTGCATCGGCATTGCAGTACAGCCTGTTTTGACTTCTCCCCTTTGCCCGAATTGTTTCACTGTGTCAAGAAGGACAGCACTACTTTGAGCAATTTTCAGATGTTCAAGTTCCTTGACATGTAAGTAGTATTGTTTATCCCCATCGGCAGAGTATTGCTGAGCATTGGCATTGGTCTTGACGGATTTCCTGTTTTTTTTGCTGGATGGTGGAACCCTGTGCCATCCTGTGCCCAATGTATACATATATTAGTGCTTGGGCAAAAGTATCGCACGCATGTGATATGCATTCTGTGACAGCCAGCACAACACATAAGTTGCTTGGATTGTTTGACGATCCGTTGGCATTCTGCTCCTCCTTTGCTGGATCAGGTCGGGGCGAGCCTGTTTTCCCTGTGAACAACAAAAATGCCCTCGTCACTCGGCAAGAATGCGTTGATTAGGAGCAAGTGTGAACCCTTCAGGTTTTGCGGATGGAAGAGGTCCAAAAAAACTCTCCGTAAAGAAGTTTCCCATAGCCCATAACATACCATATATACCATAACACACCTGTTCTTTGTCCTTCCACATGGCACTTGAAGGGCTGTGGCTGTGCTATCTGTGCTCCAAGGACAAGTTCCGTGGCGGGAAATGGCGAAGTTCCACTGGCATGGTTTGGAAATGCAACCTGGATGGCTCACAATCTCCATCGGAAGTGGCACAGGCTGAAACCACCAGATGAATTCAATCGAATGATCATGGCCGTAAGGCATCGTGATCAACAGAAGAGGGGGAGGAATGAAAATGATGATGGTGATGATGATGATGATGATGATGATGCTCATGATGCTCATGATGCTCATGATGCTCATGATGCTCATGATGCTCATGATGCTCATGATGCTCATGATGCTCATGATGCTCATGATGCTCATGATGCTCATGATGCTCATGATGCTCATGGTGCTGGTGCTGGTGCTGGTGCTGGTGCTGGTGCTGGTGCTGGTGGTGAAGAAGAAGAAGAAGAAGAATATTAGACAGATGATATTTAGATATGATTTGATATGATTAGATATGATTAGATATGATTAGATATGATTAGTACTACTATTATACCTGGGCGATGCAGATTGGCGCCAATACCAGGTCTACAATTTGATGGACTTGCCCAGCTCTGCGAACTCTTTCCGTCCTTCACTTACGGATGAAGGGTGTCCTCGAGGGATATGTGTGTGTGTGCACGAACTTTGATATTCAGTTCAATTGGTAGCTGGTGTAGTTGTTGCACAGTTTTTTTCCTGCAGAGTAATTACTGTAGATGCGAGATGTTTTTGGCACGTTGGATGCTACAAGACACATCCAACACTGTACTGTACAGTATTTGTTGAACGGTCGCTCACAGGACTTGGGCATAGTATTTCCACACGTGGTACATTTGGATGATAGTTGTTTGCCCCGCACTGATGTTTGTGCTGAGTCAAAATATGTCTGCAAGGAAGTTCTGGGAGCAGTTGGTTGATGATTTGTTGTTGATGTTGACGTGATTTGTTTGCACTTCGCCTACAGACCTAGGTATATTGCCTATCCTGCTTATCACACACAGGCCACCAGGGGGAAGTCCTGCATATCGCATCAGAACTTTCAGAAAACTGTGAGGGAAATTACGCGGGAAATTGCGAACGGTATTGGTTCAGTTGATTCCTGGAGACTGCTGCAGGACATGTACCGCAAGATTCTTCTGGGAAAGGCGTCTTGGCAGAATTTGTGAATTATGAAGATTCATGACATTTCATTATGTTTCATTGCCTCCAGCAGTCTGCATCGGTTTCCAGTGCTTGTGCTACTGTGCCAGGGCTTTTGGGAACGCTTGGACTACGAGCGGATCAAGTATCAGACAGTCGTCAGGTGAGCTGCGAATGAAAGCCTGTTGTGGCCCCCATGCTCTAAAGCATGGCAAAAAGACAGCTGTTACATCCACTCCAATGTCGCAACAACAGATATCCCGCCATTGTCAACGATATCTTGCCAAATCTCAACAGGCTTGGCATGCCATGTGCAGGACAAAGCGTGTCAAGATGCCTTTTACCAAGAAGAAGATCGAGGCAACACGTGGCAATGACAGGTTGAAATAGAAACCGCACAATCACAAAATGAGAATCTGGAAACGTACGTTGTCTCAACCAGAAGTAATGCCAAGGACACAAATCATGGAGAACGCATCGAATGCAAGCCTCAAAAAATGTAACGCAGCGCATATCCGGTCATACTTATATTATAACATAAATATGGAGGGTTCCATACATGGGGGATCCTAAAACGGTTGGTTTATGCTGGAAAATCCTAGGAAAGTGGAGGATTTAGGGATATCCTCATGTCAGGAAACCTCGCAAGCTGAGGTGAAGCTGCCTGGCCGTTGCACCATGCAAGAGCTCTTGGAGTACTCGCGGCGGAACACTGCAGTGCAGGGCGGCAAGTGAGGGCATCCCAGAGTGGTCCAAATTCGTCCAGTTTTCGTAGAAATCAATAGGAACTGGGCAGCTATCCCAGCTATCCCTCAAATATCTGGCTTCCCCGACATCCACCATGGTTTATGATGGTTTATAAGGGGTGCTTAATATCAGGGGGGAGTAATTATAAGATGAACAGTAGAATTCACGATAGATCGATGTGACATGGACGTGACGCTGACTGACTCGATGCTGCCAGAAGATGTTTTTTGGGTAATTAAGTGCCAGAAGGAGTGTAGAAATGACAGCAAGAGTGTCAAGAACACTCAAGAATCAAAACATTATAAACTGTAATGACTGACTATGACTGTGTGTGACTGTAATGTATTGAATATTGAGTCCTGGACAGATATGTTCAGTTTGAGATTCCAAGTGGCCAAGTTTCTTGGGGCAAAGACGCCGAGGCGAGTCACATCTCAAGATGCTGGCGAGGCAGAATCCACCTTGGCCAAGGACGAACAGCTGAGGTTGTTTTCGCTGCATGATACTGTCGTAAAGCCAACACAGAGATACCAATTCTGAAGCTTACATAGGGAATGCAGGAGAAGTTGGTTGATGATTGCTTGACCAGTGCTTCACTCGTAGAGTCGTAGAGTCAACAAACTTTATCTAGAAATGTCGACCCTGGCAGAAATAGATAGAAATAGCATAGGGAGTTTGAAGAGTTTAGAAGGACATACAGTAACATAGGTAGACTCCCTTACTGTATCTGACATTTGTTTCTTCATATTGTTCATGCATAAGTTTCAGGAGCTTATGACGCGCATTAATCCTTCAATTTTGCCGTCTCTGCGAGGAGCGTGATTTGCAAATCCAACGAAGCCCCATTCTGAGCCTAGCCTGCAACATACTGCTGCCCTGTCTATCAAAAGATATTGAGGTTTTCTGACACGCGTACTTTTCCAAGAGTTTGGCATGCTTCAGAAGTCAGCTCTTGTCTACCAGCTTTTATCAAACACAAATTGGCATTAGGCCGCAGCACATTTTTCTGGACTGTGTCGAATAAACATTAGCAGCCGGTAGCAGCTAGTGGGGCCAGTGGTTTGGTATGTTGGGTTTATCGCTGTCAATTCCTATCGTGCAGCTTTTTCCGCCAAGGAACATGATCCGGAATCCCAGATGCATGTGCAGCGGGAAGGGATGGAAAGAACGGTTTCATTGGATTTCCAGATATCATTCCATGCCATTCCGCTCGGAGCTTTTTGGCAAGTGCCATGTAATGTGGCCATACGTGGCCATCCTTTGTGCTGGCAGGTACTACATCCCGCAGGAGGGTGGCAAAAATATCCAGAAGCAGAAGGGGCATCGCTCTGAGTTGGATGTTGGTGAGCAAGACATGGAGAGCCTCTTGGCGCAAAGCACGTGTGGCATGGGGCGGTCGCCAGCAGAGTTGTATTTCATGTTACCAGTCTCTGTTTGAGTCTTGCAGGGCTCTGAAGCCGACAGGTGCAGTTTCAATGACGGAAAAGATGATTAAATGATGATCAAAAGATGTTGAAAGCAGAAGTGTTGAACATGGATGATTGACTAATCTTGAAATGTCTTGAAATTTGGACAATGACCAGCCAGTTCTTCGTCTATATATTCGGAACGCCCAGGTGATGGAGAAGGTGATATGGATGTCTCACCTGATGACACGGGAGGAGGCCGTGCAGCTGGATTCGATGGTATAAATGTTGGAAAATGGGAAAAGTTTGGGAGAAATACAAGGTAATTATACCTGTGGAAAATCAGTTTTTTTTATGAAAATCTGTTCTGCACCTTTCCTTGAGAATCAGCATGAATCAGTCCCCTGGGCTGAGTTTGGTCCCATCTGGGAAATCTCATGCGAAGGCGTGATCACGGGTGCACCCAACAACGCAGAGCACATGTTGCAGATTGTCACGGCGTACGCCTGTCTTGTTTATATGTGTTTATGGTTTTGCAACTGGAAGCGCAGTTGCGGTGCAGATGGTGCCAGGATGCAACAGAAGCAGAAAGAGAAGATGATGGCAGCGATTGAAGATGAATCCTCAGATGATGAGGAAGAACAGCTTGCCCTGGGCAAAGGCTCCCTGACGACTTGTTGAGTCTTTGACTCTTTGACCATTTTGACCTTTGGTGTTACCGAACAGTAGCAACTGAAGAGTCCACGCATGTTGGCTGAGTTTTAACAGGATCTTGGATGTCATGAAGGGATGCCGAGCAATGTGTGGAATTGTGATGACTTGTGAGGATGTGCCCATATTTTATCGATTTATCGTATGTTTAGATATTTTTCCATATTTTTCCCATTTCACTGCAGCTGTTGCATTGAAATTGTTCTTTACGTCTCAACGTTCAGGCGGTTCAGCATCCAGCGACGACTTGGCTCTCTCGGACACGGGGGTGAATGGATTGGTGCTGACATATGCTGACGGCCAGCAGCCAACGGTAACCAACGGTAACCATCGGTAACCAACATTTGAATCACTTAACGGCCAGCAGTCTGCGCAGGACGCCTCTTCGTGAAAGCACGTGAATCCTGGAAATCCTGGAGCGAATTGTCCTTGAGAATTTGGCAACATTTGGCAACATTAGGCAAACACATTGCATGCAAACACTTTCTTGCACTACAGCAGTAAGACTTTAGAATACCTCAGAATATCTCTCATGAATTTCACACACTGCAACAAGGCCAAAATTATGCAGAAGAGAGACATCTGCTGTTGCCTTTTCCAACTCCGCAAGTAGCTGTGTCAATGCATGGGTCTCACGGCAAAGCCGTTGAACCCCGGATGGTTGCTCCAACCAGATGCGTTCAAACCGCAAAAGGAGTTGGGGGAAAGGGATCCGGATACGAGTCAAGGCTTGGAGATTAACACACCTCATACAGTAAGTGTCATTTGTCGCAGCATGTGTTATTCATGTAAGACACTATAATAACTGTTTGGAGAGAACATGCTATCTTCATCTATCTCCTCCTTGGGTTCAGCATGGTGTTCCACATGTTCCAAGGACAATGGCAATGGCTTGGAAAATGTTCAAACTCCGCAGCATTTGAAGCCTTGACTTGTTAGCTTCCTGCATCCGACGATGGCGCGCAGCCGAGTCTTGCCCTTGCTCTTGGTGCGCGTCTTACATGGGGAGTGAGAGCGCCACACATCGGGGGTGTCAGAGAATTGGAGATACCCCCCATGATCCCCCATGTCAAAGGGAAAATTATGGTCAACCAACAAATTTAGGGGTGCCCTCGAAACAACTGCATGTACTTGGGAAATCTTAGGAACTGATTTGGGAACTCGGTGGAAGTGCGAACAAAGCATCGAAACGTTGTGACTGGCCATGCATTTGGTGTACATCAAAACTCTCAGTTTGGCTTAGGTACCCGGTTGATTGCAACACCCCAAAACAGCTGCCGATGCACTTTGGGAAACACTCTCAATATTTGAATATATTTGACAATATGGATATGAAATCCGACTAAGAAAAGGTGACGGCGTGCTGTGTTCCAGATCAACATTCAACTCCTGCATGCCAGCTCCTAGCGGGCTTGGCTGTTGTGACGGAGCTCGTCACGAACTTTGTGGTGCGCATCCTCCGGGCTGTGGACGCGGGTAGTGCAATGGAAAAATACATGAAAACACTGACACCGGCATCATGCAGGTTGCCACACCAAGAGAGGTCAAGTATGAAATATAAGTAAATCATAGGTGCAAAAGTTGTGTTGAAATGTTGTTATGATATCAGTCCTTGATGGAGACGGAACTTGACAACACAGGCGAGTTGTTTTAGCCGACTGAAGATCGGCGAAGTCCATATTTTGGCCCACCCCCAGTCCCCAGTCCCCAGTCCAAAGTTAGAGGGGTTAGAGCCTTGACCAGTGTAGATGGACAGAAATCTCTGAGATCTTCCATGTCCATTCCATTTCCGTTCTTCCCTTTCCCTGGTGAAGGCAAATCCAAGCACCCCTCGTGCAAAGCTCAAGTGGGATGGGATGGCAGACCTTCTGGACATGCTTTCAGATCCTAGGCGAGCGTCTATGACTCGAATAGGATACAGGACAGATACTTGTATGTCCAGATATGCATGTTGATACGTGTTGATATCCCTATTCGTCAAAACAATGTGGGTACAAACATGCAGAGATACAGATCCTATCAGATCCTTATCCCCCAAGTGGATACGCTCTCTATAAATTCGGCAGCGGATCGCTACCATTACACGGTGTGCAGTGACCAAGGCTTTTTGGCTCGAAGAGACCCGCGGGTCCACTGTCCTCTGACGTCTGACATCCACATGGACGAGTCGAAAGAGACGGTCGCAAAGCGTGTTGCGATCAATGGCATCATTGCTTATGGAATCTTTGGTGCAGTTCAAGTCTTCTACCGTCTATGGAAAAACTGGACAACCAGTTCTCGCATGAGAGAAATGCTGAAGGATATGCCAGCCACCACTGGGAAGAGCCATGACGCCCCTGGTGGTTGGATCAAAGATTTACAAGCGAATCTGCACCGTTTGCAAGACTGGCGCCTGGAAATCTGCGATGGTCGGCCCATTTCCAAGAACCTGGGCTTCTCCTGGTTTCCGGGTGCATACACTCTGATGGCCAATGATCCTGCAATTGTGCGTCATATCCTGAAAGATGAGTTCAACAAGTATACCAAGTCTGACACCAGCATCAACCCCCTCTTCTATTACTTGGAGGACTTTTTAGGCAGCGGCATTTTTGTCGTGCAGCATGGCGTGGGTTCCAAGGATGAGGGAAGAGAGTGGTCGCATATGCGGAAAGTCTCAGCGCAGGTCTTCAACCGAAAGAATTTCAACAGTCTGATGCAAGACATCTTCATCGAAAAGGCAGAGGTGCTTCGCCATTTTCTGGAAACAAAATTTCTACCGAAAAGTGGCAACGTAAGCGATGCTTACGTGGTCGATATCCAGTCATGTTTCTTCAACTTCACCTTCGACAGCATCATGCGCATTTTTTTTGGAGAAGACTCCAACACGTCTGTGGGTGAAAAAAATCGATACGGACAGGCCTTTGATGAGGCAAATGTGGCAGTTCGAATGCATGGAGTTAAATCTATCGCTCCTTTCTTCATTTTCAGTACATTCTTACCGTGGCCTTTTGGTGGAAGACATGGTGGCTTGGCCCGTGCCATGTGGGACTTCTTCTCTCCCTGGCACCGACGGCTGAAGAGATGCACCAAGGTCTTAGATGCCGAAGCCGATCGCTTGGTGAAGAAGTGCTTAGAGGATCCAAAGTTCTCAGAAAGAAAAGATTTGTTGGCCTTATTCCTCCAGGCAAAGTTCAGCAATGAGTTTGTGAAGCATATGGTTCTTCACTTGATCATCGCAGGAAGAGACACCACTGCCTGTTTGTTGTCCTGGGTCTTTTACGAACTTACCAAGAACCAAGAGATTCAAAAGCGACTTCACGAAGAGATCATGGAGAAGCTCCCTCCAGGGACCCCAATGGACTGGAAGAGTTTGTCTCCAAATGAGATGCCATACTTACACGGGGTGATCTATGAAGCCTTGCGCCTGTGGCCTCCAGTGCCCTTTGACCCCAAAATGGCCTTTGAAGATGATGTGCTTCCAGGTGGTTGGAAAGTGCCGAAGTTTGCCACTGTGGCCTTTATCCCATACAACATGGGCCGTGATGCACAGCGATATCCAGAACCCCTGGAGTTCCGCCCTGAGAGGTGGATTCCGTTCAATGCTCCACCCCAACATGAGTTTCCAGTCTTCCAAGCAGGGCCCAGAATCTGCTTGGGAATGGACATGGCCATTTTCGAGGCCAAAACTGCCACTGTGGAGTTGTTGCGTCATTGCCGTTTCGAAATGGTGCCAGGACAAGAGATTACCTATGGTGACAAAATCACCATGGACATCAAGAGCAATGGCAAAGACCAGTTCTTGGTCTATGTGAAGCCATGGTAAAGATAAACACTGCCCAGTCAGAAACCAATCTGCTTTGCCAGCTGCGTGCAGTTCCCCATATTTCCAGGTTGTAAAAGGCGCTGCTAGCAGTTGTACCAGATTGGTGCTCAGATCTCTTAACTGCCATTAACGTTTTTGTTCAACTGTCACAATGATGCCCTGTGAACAAGGCACCCCAGCTTAAAATGCACTTGTGTAATGACCGCCGACCAACCCTGGATTAGTCACTCTTGCCTCAAAGGTTTGACTGGGCGAAAACCCAATACAGCCATGTATGCAGCGGGGGCCTTAAGTTGGAGAAGATGGAACTGGTGGAAGATACAATGGCCTAGGAGGCACAACGGTGCTGATAAATTCGGAGAAAAGATGCTAATTACTCATAGTTGAGCAAATGCTATGAAAAGTATTCCATGCATTTCAATGAATGTCCAAAATGTAACGTTCCACAAATATCCAAAAATCATCAAAAATCATTAATATCCAATAACACGCTGATGTACACTGCATCTATAGACCAAAAGTATGATAAACCATCTAAACCACCAAACCATTATAAACCACTATATATAAATCATCATCAACCATTGTAAACCATTCTAGATTCTAAACCATTCTAGATTCTAAACCATCATAAACCATAATAATTTTTCTATAAATCCTAAGTGTTTCATAAATGTCATGGCTTAGGAAGATCCCTTGGACTTCGTGGGCAAGACTGGGAAGAGGTCGGAACCTCCAACCACGGTGAATTTCAGCCGAGATTAAGATAAGGTTTATACAGGCTTTACATGGGTTTATACAGGTTTATCATGGCTTATGTTGGTTTACCCATGGGTTTAGAGTGGTTTATAAATGGTTTATTTACAGTATAAGTGGTTTTAATTGTTTATTGTTTTGTACTGATTAGTAATTGTTGATAATGGTCAATAATGGTCAATAATGGTTTTTGCATGTGTTTGCAGAACCGTTCATTTCAGAGCAGTTGCCATGCCAGGAACTTGATGATTTGCAGTGATATTGGCACTCATGATCTTTTCCAATATGTTCAATTCTATCAATTATATTCAATAACTATAACTATCACACTAGCACTAGTGGTCATTGAGTTTTCTGAATTGCCGTTGATGTTCATTCATGATTCATGATCATGAATTATCATCAATTACTAGCGCTCGTTACGGCGAGTTCAGCATTAGGCGCTGAGAGGCGCCTCATAAATCCACAGAGTTAGCCTGCCAGGATAGAAGCCAACAGCGAAAATGAACAGCTCATCGATTTGGTGAAGGGCTCATCGTTGAGATTGGGTGATTTGGGTGCTGATTCTGCCGGGTATTTACTGCCATTGACAAGTCGTTGTATGTTGCCTACTATGGAATTACAGGGATGTAAGTTGGATGGATTTGGATGGTTTAGGGTAAGCCGGGTAAGCGTAAATGCAAACAAAATAGGGTTTGGTTGCAAGAGACTGTTGCGACATGGCAACTTTGAAGAACTCAGATTGAGAGTGATGAGTTTGACGCTTCATCTTTGATTGTGGAACGTATGCTGGAACCTTCTGCACCGAGGATGGCTTCTGGGCAATTTTCTTCACTTTGGCTGGTGTCACTTGGCACGGGCGAGATCGAAGCCTGTGGAGCCTGTGCATTCCATTGATCATTTTGATCATTCTAGATCTTAGGATTCTTAGGTTGTTTGGTTGTTAACAATCACATCATCACAAGGTCTTTAGATCACCATTTGTTTTGGAAACTGGCGGCTACACAATGGCAGCAAATCAATGCAAATCAGGTCGGTGCTACCTTTCTTTTCGTCAACTTCCTCCAGGGTCTCAAGAAATGCTCCCAGCGAAATGGGTTTGGGCGGCCGGCGGTGCCTTTCAACTAATCAGCATACGCCGGATTGGAGGGATTAAGAAGTGTGCAGCGTTGGATCCAGTCATAGTTGTACTGTTTACTTGCTCTCTCAAGAATTGACAAAGAAATCACCTTTTCTTCATCCCCAGAGCCATCATGTGAATACGAAAGAATTTGTAGAGCGAGTCAAAGAAGTTCTGCAGACATCAGCGGATGGGGTCGTCATTGAAAATCATGCATCGTGTCTTCGTGGAGAGCCCATCCCGAGGCCAAGCTAAGACTGAGCTGCGCAACCACTGTTCCCATGCTCGGTGGAGAAGTGTACTGGAAGCCTGCAGTCTTCTCCTCAAGACCTCCAAAATTTACTGACCAGCAGACTATCTTGAATACCAGATTGTCATTGTGCTTCTTTGGTTTTCAAAATTTTCGGAGCGCGGGCTTTCCAACAGATTCTATTTAATTCGTCCAATCAACCAATTTCGTTCATAATATGATAATCGTAGCATCAAATTGACTACAAAAAATATCAAAAACATATAGAAATAATTGAAAACGATTACATAAAGGGAACTTTCCAAAAAAAAATCACCTATGTATTCCCAAATGAATTGCCTAATTGAAAACGATTACATAAAGGGAACTTTCCAAAAAAAAAATCACCTATGTATTCCCAAATGAATTGCCTAATTGAAAACGATTACATAAAGGGAACTTTCAAAAAAAAAATCACCTATGTATTCCCAAATAAATTGCCTAATTGAAAGCGATTACATAAAGGGAACTTTCCAAAAAAAACTAGACGACGGTTGGCCCGAGAGCGAAAAAGATGTTTTTCAAGCAGCTCTGAGGATGGTAGTCGTAAAAGATAGTCGGTGAATAGTTGGTGAATTTTATATGAGCTATGGAAAGATATGGTGTGAAAAAGTAAGATTGATCAAGAAGAGAATATTTGGTAAAGGGCATCAGATGACATGTGTCTTGCAACCACAGAGAGAAAGAGGGGGCAGAGATAAAGAGAGAGAGAGAGAGAAAGAAAGAGAGAGAGAGAGAGAGAAAGAGAAAGCAAGAGAGAGAGAGAGAATGAAAGGGGGGGGTAGAAAGAAAACATGAAGAAATGTAATGTGAGCAACAAAAGTGCATAGGAGGCTCAGTGCCATGAGTCTGCTAATGACATGTGCTATCTCATTTTATTATGGTAATTCCCACACAGCTTGCGGAAAAAGGTGCGGCACCATCATTCCGTGAACCCGAAGAAACGCGACGCTTTTATACAGAGACGCTTTTACACACAATCTTTTACACATAAACACTTTTACACAGACGCTTTTACACAGAGACGTTTTGCATGCACACACACACACAGAGACTTTTACACGAAAATACTTTAACACACAGACGCTTTTATACACAGACTCTTTTACACACATATACTTTTACATGCAGATGCCTTTTCACGAAAGGTAGCTCCAGAGGGGCTACCTTGAGTTTTACTTTACGAAGTAAAGGGGAGGGCGGCCAGCCCCGTTACCTGATTCTTCAGGAGATTGCTAGTCATTTTAGTACCCCCCCCCTCCACACCTCCCACGCACCCTAAGAGCAGACTCAAAACATTGTAATTTACAGTATTTTTGTTCTTTTCGGATCAAGAAACCACATTTTGCTACATGGTGAAACCTCCGTAAATACCAGTGTTTTTGCTAGGTGCTGGCCAAAAAACACTGTAAATACCGTGCTTTTTACTACCAGAGGCAAAAAACATCGTAAATACTGTGGTTTTGGGCTTCTGACCCGCCAAAAACATCGGTATTTACGGTGTTTTTTGCTCCGAGAGTTGCAAAAACACGCGAAAACACCACCGATTTGACGATTTTCGGCCACTACGGAACCGAGCAAAAACGCTGCAGGGGTAACACCAACACCAACAACAACAACACCAACACCAACAGCAACAGCAACAACAACAACGACGACAACAACAACAACAACAACACCAACACACAACGCACAATGCACAACGCACAACGCACAATGCACAACGCACAACGCACAACGCAACAACACACAACAACACACAACACACACAACACACAACAACACAACAACACACAACAACACACAACAACACACAACAACACACAACAACACACAACAACACACAACAACACACAACAACACACAACACACACAACAACACACAACAACACACAACAACACACAACAACACACAACAACACACACAACACACAACAACACACAACAACACACAACAACACACAACAACACACAACAACACACAACAACACACAACAACACACAACAACACACAACAACACACACAACAACAACACACCACAACACACAACAACACACAACAACACACAACAACACACAACAACACACACAACAACACACACACACAACAACACACACAACACACAACAACACACAACAACACACAACAACACACAACAACACACAACAACACACAACAACACACAACAACACACAACAACACACAACAACAACAACAACATTAACACCATTAACAGCAGCAACAATAGCAACAACAGCAACAATAACAACAGCAACAACAACAACAGCAACACGAACACGAACAATACCAACACCAACAACACGAACAATACTAACACCAACAACACGACCAACAACACCAACACCACCAACAAACCCAACCACACTAACAACACTAACAACACCAGAAACACTACCACCACCAACAACACCAACACCACCAGTACCACCAACACCAGCAACACCACAACCACCACCAACCCCAACCACATCGCCGAAGCTTTTCAATCGCATTTAGCAGACTCCCGTTCATATTTTTGGAAAGAAAATGACCGCGTCGCTTTTACCAGACACTACTTTATGTATTTTTCCCTCCCCTCTCCCCTTCATTTTTTCTTCGGTGCCTTTCTTGCTTACTTAGCTTTCGTGTTCCCCGTCTTAAGTTACAAACACATACACACTTTCACACACAAACGCTTTTATTCACAGACGCTTTTGCACATAGACACAGAGACTTTTACACTCAGAGGGTTTTACACTCAGACACTTTACGCTTTTCCACACAGACCCTTTTACACACAAACGCTTTTACACACAAACGCTTTTATACACAAATACTTTTACACTTACACAGAGACGCGCGCAAACATAATTATAATGGAAATGCTAAAAAATCACAAAAGTACACAAAACCAGGCTCAATACCATGATCAACGCACAATCCAATACAAGGCATCCGCTCTTTGAGATATAAAATAAGCTCGGCACCATGATGCCGTGGATAATCTCAGTTGCAAACACAGATGGGCAAACAAAGGCTCCGTACCATGGCATCCAAAAGAATCTAGAAGTCTGTGCAAGAATGCTATGAATGATTCCACAATAGCAAATTCGATATTATGATGGCAAGGATGACACCTGTTTCACTGCATTTCTCCGATGTCCCTACAGGATGGGAAAAAAAAAATTACAGACAAACAACAATTGGCTACTGGTTTTGCATGTTCGTCACGAACAGTCTCGTCACGAAGAGTCTCTCCAGACGAACACTGCTACAAATTAATTTGACACAAACACACTTTGACACACAGACGCTTTGACACACAAAAGCCTTTACACGCAAACGCTTTTACATACAGACGCTTTTACACACAGACGCAACGCTTTTACACACAGATGCTTTTACACACAGACGCTTTGACACACAAAAGCCTTTACACACAAACGCTTTTACACACAGACGCTTTTACACATAGACGTAACGCTTTTACACACAAAAGCTTTTACACACAAAAGCTTTTACACACAAAAGCTTTTACACACAACGGTTTTACACACAGACGCTTTGACGCACAAACGCTTTTACACACAGACGCTTTTAGACGCAGATGCTTTTTATACACGCGCACACGCTTTCACGCTTTCAAACACAAACGCTTTTACACACAGACGCTTTTACACACAGACACTTGTACAGAAACGAAAGCGTCCATCGCAATTTTTCCTCAATTTTTGACGTGCAACGTCCATTTCGCGCGAAAGGGTTATGATTGACCAAGTAAAATCGCAATTTTTCCTCAATTTTTGACGTCCAACATCCATTTCGTGCGTAAGGATTGCGATTGACACCTCAAGGTCGCAATTTTTCCTCAGTTTTTGACGTCCAACATCCATTTCGTGCGAAAGGGTTGCGCGCGACACCTCAAAGTCGCAGTTTTTCCTCAATTTTTGACGTCCAACGTCCATTTCGTGCGTAAGGGTTGCGCGGGACACCTCAAAGTCGCAATTTTTCCTCAGTTTTTGACGTCCAACATCCATTTCGTGCGAAAGGGTTGCGTGCGACACCTCAAAGTCGCAGTTTTTCCTCAGTTTTTGACGTCCAACGTCCATTTCGTGCGTAAGGGTTGCGCGGGACACCTCAAAGTCGCAATTTTTCGTCAGTTTTTGACGTCCAACGCCCATTTCGTGCGAAAGGGTTGCGCGGGACGCTTCAAAATCGCAATTTTACCTAGGTTTTGGACGTCCAACGTCCATTTCGTGCAAAAGGGTTGCGTTTCGTGGCGGTCCGGCGGCACCGCCCCCGCCTTAAGAGAGAATAGTGAAGGTGTGAAGATCTAGATCAGCAGATGTGAAGGTGTGAAGATGTAGATCGGCAGATGTGAGAGTGTGAAGATCTAGATCTGCAGGTGTGAAGGTGTGAAGATCTAGATCTGCAGGTGTGAAGGTGTGAAGATCTAGATCTGCAGGTGTGAAGGTGTTAAGATGTAGTATAATGGTTGTTTTTTTACGAAGAACCCTTCGTAGGCGCTCTCGGGAAAAAAATACCTATGTATTCCCAAATAAATTGCCTAATTAAAAACAAATACTAAAGGGAAAAAACAGAAAAAAACGGGGAAAAAAGGTTGGCTTACTTTATTGCGGGGGGTTTTATTGTTGCGAACCGGGAGTTGGCGTATTTTATTTTGGGGGGTTTATTAATGCCATATTAACATTATATTATGAAATAATGTTCTCAGACTCATATCTTAAGTATATCCTGCATAAAATCAGGAGGGACGTGGGTTGTATAAGATGTTATTCTGTTGATATGTGTTTTTTCAATTTGTTGGATGTTGACAATTTTGAGTTTTTGACCTGGAACGATCCTGATTTTATAGAGGATTCGAAGTGAGGATATGCGGGGTGTGCATTCTATTCAGGAGGGGCATTCTATATAGAGAAACATTGCCTACAGGAGCTAAAATACACTGCATGGCAATTTTGTCAACTTACTTCGACCGGGTAGTTAGTTTTTCCTTTTTGTTACATTGATAGCCATAGTAATGTGCGGATTTACTCGCACTCACACGGACAGTTACCATTTGTAGCTTGTATTGTCAAAGGAAGTTTCATGGAGGAAATTCCGAATTACGGATGGTTTTATTCTCATTAGCCCAAAGATCATGGTGTCCAGTGGGCACCTGCGTTAAGAGATTATGAAATTACGTTCTCACTAGCCCAAAGATCATTGTGTCCAATTGGTACCTGCATTAAGAGATAATAAGAGATCATCAAGTTACATTCTCACTAGCTCAAAGATGCTCAAAGATCTTTGTGTCCAGTTGGTTGGTTCCTGAAGCAGAGATCGAGGTCAAAAGATAATTAAGTGCAATTGGTATGTGCCTGAAGTAGAGAAGTAGCTCAAAAGATTATTAAGTCCAGTTGGCGTAGGGGTAGGACGATTAAGAGTAGAATAGAGTAGAGTAGAGTGGAGTAGGGTAGAGCAGAGTAGAGTAGAGTAGAATGGAGTAGAGTAGAAGAGAGAGGAGAAGAGGATGTTATTTTGTATATTTTGCGTCAATTGTGTTTTGCAACTCTCTGTTGCTTAATTAGATCGTATTGGAACAGTTACATTCAAGATACGATTGAAGCCAAGATACGATTGAATATTAGGATTTGCCTAAAACATTGTGTTTTTGCGGGTAAACGGACATTCCGTTGCGGAGAAAAGTTGGCTTGCTTGCGCGATTGTTTTGGGCGTCGCCGCTTTGGCGTCGAATCTGTCTCGAACTGCGCGCGCACTGTGATTGAGGTTTCCAGGTGACTTTTGATCTCTTGTTGTTGACGCTGTGCTATTGAATTGTTATTGTATTTTGCAATTCAGTATCTGCAGATCGCAGGGGAATGGTTGCGCAAAAACTTCTTATTGTTGCGGCTGCGTGCGCGATACTTATATTTTTTGTA